CCCCCCCGGCACCCTCCCCCACAAGCTTGGTGGGCTGGTGCCTGGAGCCGGCCCTGCCCACCAATGTAACTCGCCCACTACACCGACTTAACTCCACATCTGTGAGAGGTGTAGCACTTAAGACATTGTAGTTAGGTTGGCAGAGTATCAGCGTAGACACGGTGTTGCTTACGTTGACGGTTGCTGCCTTTCAAAAGCAGACCTACAATGCCCCACACTGACAGTTAAATCAGTGCAAGCACTCCTGGTGAGGATGTGCACCGCCGACGCACAGAGGGTAGTGTGCATATGCAAAAGCTATTACATTAGCGTACAGCCACTGCAGTAATTAAACAGAGATCAACTTAATTTTGTAGGGTAGACTTGCTGTTTGGGTAAGGGTGTGTATGGGGGAGAAGGTGCAACAGACAAGAAAGACTGTCTTCCTCTCTCTGTCTAATGGAGCAGCTGAAAACATGGTGGCTGACCCTGGGGGAAACCTGGGGGGAAATTTTTGAGTTAGGAGTGCAGGCTAATGAGTGCTCTTGGTGCTGTGACCAAAAGAAGGTGTTTCCTGCTATTTAATTCCCATACACAGATCAGGTCAAGAAGAAAAAAAACAAAACTTAATCTCAGCCTTTTGTCTGAATTGAGAATTCTAGATTAACAAAAGAGGTTATTTCAGCAATAGTGCTGAAGCTCATCCTGTTGTCATGAAATATGTAGAACCCACTGTCATCATGTTACTATCACAAATAGCAGAGACCACCGTGTTATTGAACAGGCCCATGGTATACAGACAATAACTCCACTAGGAAAAGGACCACTGGCTGCCCAGCGAGAGGGGGAGCCACAGGATGGCCATCATGAACAGTTGGTATGGAAACAGCAAACTAACAGCCAATGGTTAAGAACTCTGTGCACTTTGTATGTGTACCTGAGCTAAGGAAGAAGTGAAGCTTGCTGTTAGAAGAGCTGGTAGACAGGCTAACATGAGATTGGCAGACACATTCGTGAGCTCCAGGAAGTCACCTGAGGGAATTCCAGTGGAGTTACTTTCTGAAGCAAATCTAGATTAAGTGCAGTTTCCTACAGTATATATGCAACCATCACCACCACACACATTTATTGGATTGGTGCAGAATGTAAACGCACGCGTACCCAGGGCTCTAGGCACCTTTGCCATACAAGCTAAACAACAAACAAAATGGAATACAACAATTTTCCAGAAAACAAGATGGAGATGAGAAGAGCCACGGTCCCAACCCTCAGTGCATGAATCTCAGCCTTGAGAAAAGACAGGCTTTGCAATGTATGGCAGTGCATGTATGTGCACACTGCAGGCAGTACATGAAGCCAAAGGTTAAGTGACTTTAACCTCCTGATGGTCAGTGAATCATTGGACACTGGAAGGCTTTGTTTGCTATTATAAAACATTTCTTCTAACGTGGGATTTGGGGATTTGCTGTAAATATTGATTAGGAGATGCACATAAATCAGCAGCCATGATGAGTGCTCCATTTGTTTCCAAAGCTTAACAGCCATTTTGGAACAAAGCTCTGTTTTTGTTAATGAATTTGGGCTTGAGAGCCTGCCTAGGGAGGGGACAACAATGTGAGCCTGAAGGTTTATTTTCACTGCAGCAGTTAGCTTGGGTGAGTACACTCAAGTCGAGCTAGGTTAGCTCTAGTGAGAGCAACCACACTGCAAAACAAAACTTGAACTACAAAGAGTGACCGGATTAGCAGAGTGAAATTGGATTGGTATCCGGTTTATTGTAAATCAAGCTGCTGCATCCCTACTGTATTGCTAGCTTGAGTCCCGCAGACACCAAGAGGAGTTTGCTTGTGTGTGTGTGCCCGCATTGAATGGTTGCCAAAGGAACTCAACATGCCCAGCTAGATGCCCAGGAGCCGAGGGATCCTTGAGCCACTGCCTTGTTTTGAGAATGAGCAGCCCCAAATCCCCAGACTATTAAAATGGTCCAAGACCCACTCACCCATCACCACAACCAATAAGAAAAAGGTGCAGGATACAAAACAAGAACTCACATCAATGGAGCAGCCAAGCAGAGATCCCCTTTCCAGAGCTTTCAAAATAATTTGGTAAAGGTCACTGGGGGGTTTCCGAAGCTCGTACCATTCAGTGACCCCTCCAGTGAAGTCTTCAAAGCCCTCCGAGGTGCTTCCTCCAGACAGAGCTTCATAGCAGCCATTCACCCTGAGTGAGAACGAAGAAGGCAGATAGTTAGAATTTTCCCATTGCTGACACATGCGCTGGGCCACATTAGTCAGGAAATATCCACCAGCCAAGTGCTTGGTATGTCATGGCCATTTCCAAAGCAGAGCTGGGCAAGCCCAGACACTGGCACTTACTTGGCATAAGCTTTCTCGAGTAGGGCACTCCAGAACTCATTGCCTTGTGCCGAGTGTACAAAAGCCAGCTTCCCATCCTTTGTCGGGAGAAGATCGTCCACTACAACGTCCACCCACTCCCCAAACTGCCAGATCTGCATAGAGGAGAGACAGATGTATGCAAACTGATGGTGAAAATAGCTATAGGTTCTAAGGTCACCCTCATCACCATATTATCCAAACGCCTTCCAAAAATGCATTAAGCAACATAGTTAATATCTGGTACATGTGGTTCATTCTCTCTCTCATCTCCCCAGGGAAAAAAATGTGTGGGCAGTGTCTGGTGAGCTAGGTTGTTTAGTGTGTGTTTAGCAGTTCTTGTAAAACACGGTTTCAATTCTAGTGTAGACACACCCATTTTGAGAGAAGAATTAATTTTTATAATACCACTGTGTAAACATGGACACTAATCAACTGATAAAAATGTTTGCATGGCCAATTTTGCTGTACCCTGTGCTATTCACACTGGTACTGCAGGATGCAAAGGCTATGAAAATGAGAAGGTCATGTTCTTTGCAGAGGTCTGGCAAAGGGCCCAGGCTATTTGTTACTGCTGATGCCCAAACAACTGTGTGGTAATTAAACCCCCAAAACTTTGCAAGTCAAGTGATGGGGCACTAAGATTCCATTCAGTCCTTACAGTTAATGGGCAGAAAGGTCATGTAGTTGTCTGAAGCCTCAGTTCAGCAAAGTACTTTTGCAAGTGCCTAACTTTAAGCATGTGTCTAATTTACCTGACTTCAGCAGGACTACTCACATACTTAAATTTAGCCATGTTCTTAAGTATCTTGATGAATTATTGCCCAAATACCCTGTGAATGTGAACCAGAAATGAAATTTTCATTAATTGGCTGAGCTCGTGAGGCATTACACTCAACTTGATGGCATTTCTGTTTGGATGTAGAATCAACTTCCAAACATTGGATCTCATTATGCTTTTTTCTCCTAGATAAAAGAACTGTCTACTATTAGAAATCTCTTCCATGTAGAAACATACTTGTATGTAGACCATGGTATAGTCACCTCTAAACCATCTCTTAGATCAGGGGTCTCAAACTCAATTTACCTTAGGGCCAGTGCTAGTCCTCAAATCCTCCCAGCGGGCCAATAATGTCACTCATGCCACCCAGAACCCGCCCCCCCAACTCCGCTCCCCATCTGCCTAAGGCTCTGGGAGGGAGTTTGGGTGGGGAAGAGGATTGGGGTGCAGGAGGAGGGGGTGGGGTTGCAGGCTCTGGGAGGGAGTTTGGGGGCGGGAGTGGGTGTGTGGGAAGGGGGAGGGGGTGCAGGTTCTGGGAGGGAGTTTGGGGGCCTGGGGTGTGTGGGGAGAGGGTGCAGGCTCTGGGAGGGAGTTTGGGGGCTGG